AACCTTGAGACCTCATCGCATCTCTTCTGGGAGTGCACATTCACCATTCAGGTTTGGAACAAAGTGGCAACCTGGGTGGGCTGCAGCTCACTGGCACACATCAACTGGAGCACAGGTAAAACTACCACTTCTTCTAAAAAAGGTAAAACTACCACTGAGCGCGTCCGCATGATCCTTGATGGAACATCCCCAGGTACAAGGAAGGGAATCAGTTTGATACTCTCCTTGGTGGTCTGGCACATTTGGCTAGAGCGCAATGCGAGCACCTTCAAGGGGAAGATCCTCATGTGTCAGTAGCATCACCGAAGCCTGCCGCCGGGACATGGAGCAGTGGAGGATCGCCGAAGCCAAATGCATAGCGCACCCCTTCAAGGACGTGCCATGAAATATTGCGATCAGGATGTATCGCTAGCTTACAAGCCCGTTAAGCTGGCAGTGTAATTTTCTCTTACAATCCACTAATCAGTTGATCAAACTATGTTTTTCCGCTCTCTCCTGCTTATGAAATGAAAGCCAGCAATGGCCACTTTCAAAAAAAATCAACAGCTTCAGTGTGTGTAACAACACGAATCAATCAACAGCAAACATGTAACGGCAGAGGAGAGCTCTTGCGGACGTGGTGGGAGAATAGATGGGGAGAAGGACCAGGTGGGCTAGTGGGGCGACAGGAGTGATGTCGACCGATGGAGGGCACACCGGCGGGGGAGTAGCGGCGCCGGCACATGTGAGAGGGGAGGAGCGTACACACGCACACGTGGGACAGGACGGAGGAGCATACTTGTGTTCGGCCGTTGAAGTGGTGGTTGTGGGCGGCGGCAAGGGCGGAGTGCTCATACCCAAGGAGAAGCGAGTTGAAGGATCTAGCGAGGGCACAGGAAACAATTTGAGGGGAAGAAAAATGGAACGGGAGCGGGCGATTTTTAGATAGGTCAAGGCAGGACGCGGCTATATAGCAGGAAAAGGAACTTACGCGCGTGTTTTCTAGATAGTAGAGAAAAATTGGGTGGGTGGGACGACGTAGGAACGGCGTGGAGGGGGAGTTCGACAAAGGTCAAGGTAAGACATGGTCGTATGACAGGACACAGTCATATGGCAGGAAAAGGAACCTTATGTGTTTTTTAAATAGTGGAGATTCAACAAAGGCCTCACAAGAACATACAACAAGTCACCCAAAGCCACCACTCACACCTACAAATTTGATAATATGGAGTGCTTTCACTCCCCATACCAAAAACACGGTGCCGTCGCGCGCCGCTCCATCCACGTGACATACCGGAACCTACAACCGGTGGAGATAACATAAAGCGTACACATAATATACATTCAGTAACAACTGGATTTAGTTTTCCTCCATTATAATTTTTTTATAATAAAGTACAGCAGAAAACATGACCTGGTAATTTTTCAGATAGAACCAGCATGTTCGGTTTTTTGTAAATTCTTTTACCACAGTAGCAACACAATTGCCATCCAAATAAAGAAAGTAAATCCAATGGAACTGAAAAGATCTTGAATGTATATTCTTATAAATCTAAGATGCCGGACAATTCTTAAGGGTCGAGATTTTTAAAAATCAAAAGGCTCTTCGCCCTGTTCCGTTTCAAACGAAATGAAAACAGTGTCACAACAGTTAATACCATTACAGACCTTTTAAATAGGCCACATCTCAAAACCTCAACATCTAGTAGTCATGAATTATTAGGGCATGGCCAAT